AGAGGACCTCTTACTTGGTGACCAAACACTAGTTCAAAAGGTGAACAGCCCAATGACTCTTGTAGCCCTTCTCTAGCAGCAAACAACACAAAGGGGAGATTCTCATCCCAATTACGTGGATGAGTTTCTCCGGTTGTCTTCAGCATTTGTTTCAAAGTCTGGTGGAAACGTTCAAGCCCACCTTGGCTTTGTGGATGATATGGACTGGATAATTTGTGCCGAATCCCTCGGGATTCGCAAAAATTTCTGAAAACCTTAGAAACAAAATTTCCCCCATTGTCACTCTGAATAACTCTAGGCATTCCAAACAACGAAAAGAATCTTTCAAGACACTTTATGAGATTATGAGCCTTGGTATTCCGTAGAGCATAAGCTTCAGGAAATCTAGTAGTCATACACATGAGAGTGAACAAAAACATGTTACCCGATTTAGTCTTAGGTAAAGGACCTACACAATCAATTACAACATGAGTAAATGGTTCATCAGGAACTACAATAGGTTGCAATGGTGCTCTAGGTACAGATTGATTTGGTTTACCAACAATTTGACAGGGTATACAGTTATGACAATATCTGACCACGTCTTTCTTTAACTTTGGCCAGAAAAAATATTTACTTATCTTATGGTACATATTCGTGATACCTTGATGACCTCCCATGGGGTCATCATGTGCAGCCTGCAGGACCTGCCTACGATAATCATTGGGGACAACGAGTTGGGTTCTAATCTCACAATCATCTGAAGAGGGAGTTCCCTTGGGTCTCCACCTTCTCATCAGAAGTCGATCCTTGAAGAAGAAACCCGTCCCTTCCTCCAATGCATCAACATTATCAGGAGCCTCAGAAATACACTTACTTAAACTAGGATCAGTAGTCTGTACAACACTTAAGGGCAATGACTCAGACTCAGCAGCGAGCGGGCAAGAACCTAGTAGCTTGATCTCTTTTCCCGATTGATCAGAATAAAATGGAGTCATAGCTACTTCGGCCTCACTCTCGACAACTGGCGCACTGGAGACAAGCGGGCAAGGTACAGATAGTTCAGCCTCCTCACCTTCACTTTCCTTGTGATTTAGGTTCGGCGGGGCTTCTACTACGGCCTCACTCTCATCATCCAGTCGAGTCATAAAGGAATCCTCAAGATCCACCTCCCACTCCTTTACTGAAGGGGTCCTGGTCTTGGGAACAGCAACCTCAGTGAAGACAGGATTACTCTCACCTGTTTGTCCCATTGATCTAGTTACAACACAAGCAGGGTAAATAATATCATCATCTGCTACTGGTTGAGCTAATACATTATGGGGTTTAGTTAACATGATGGGAAACTTGGGCCCTACAACCATTTGGTTGCCAAAATCATTACCTAGAATAATGTCTACCCCAGGAATGGGCAGTTGTTTACTTACACCAACATTACACCATCCTGAAGTATAGTTAGAATCGAGGTTAACTTGCAATAAGGACACTGGTTGCACACTACCGGCAATACCTTGGAGAAGCACAACTTCACCCAGATCTCGGGTGTCAACATCATCAAGTACCTTCTGGGTAATAAGAGACTGTGAAGCTCCAGTATCACGGAGTAATTGAACAGTCTTATGTCTACCATTATTACATAATAAGGTACCTGTGGAGATATAGGGTTTAAATTCAGCCATCCAATTGGACTGACTGTAATACATGAAGAATTAATAGGTTGCAATCCTTTACTCATAATAAGACCAGTTGGTCGTAGTTCAGGATGCAAACTAAAACATGAAGAAATCACATGCCCCCTTCTCTTACAATGGGTACAATGCTTGACAGTGGACACACTGGTAGAACCAACTGCCGGTTTAGAATTAGCATTACTAGGCTTAGATAATCCTGGCAATGGAGTAACCATCTTAGGGTTAGTAAGAGAAGAGTTCACGGGAGTAACTGTCGCACCAGTAGGAGACTTATACTGATAAGGAGTTCGGTGAGCATTAAAATTTACTCTACGACTAGACTTAGGTGAAGTGGCCGTAAACGGGGCCTTAGTCAACAACTCATGCTCATCCGCGAGCTTTGACAGCTCATAAATATCTGTTACATTCTTTTGTTCTGCCATAAAAGTAGACAACTGGTCTGGGATACATGACAATACTTCTTCCATTATAAGAAGATTCTTTAGAGCATCAAAATCAGTGACTGCAAGTGACTTTAACCATCTGTTGCAAAAATTCGTCTTCTGACGAGTAAAATCTGCTATTGTCTGATCCCTTATCCTCCTTAGATTTCTGAACTTTTGCCTGTGTGCCTCTGGATTTAACTGGTACGCATTTAGGATGCTTTTCTTTACAAATTCATAATCAAAACTATGAGCGTCAGGTAGGGATGTGAAAACCTCCTGACTACGCCCCTTAATTTGAGACTGCATAATGGCTACCCACTGATCCCTTGGCCAGTTCATACTGATGGCAATTTTATAAAAATGTGCAAAGAAAACCTCAGGATCCTCCTCATTGAACTTGGGCAACTCTATATACTTATTCATCCTGATGGGATTATTATCACTATTTATTGAAACATTACTAGTATTTCCATGCCCAGCTGCCATACGCTGTGATTCAAGCCTGAAGTTAGTGTCAGCCATTTGTTGTTGAATCTCTAATTGCCTAGTTTGTTCCTCGGCTTGTTGCTTCTTTGTGGCTTCTATTTGCAACTGTACCGCAATTTCTAAACGCCTAGTCTCCAGCTCCCTTTGCTGAGCTTCAGCCTCTAATATTTGCTGTTGCTGTTGAGCTTCAATCTCTCTTTGACGAGCTTCAGCCTCTAATATTTTCTGTTCCTTTTGAGCTTCAAGCTTAGCATTGGCTATTTGCGCTTCTAACTCAAGACGCTTTAACGTCATCTGATCACTCGACTCCTCTCTTAACTCTTCTAGAATTTCTTCATCTAACTCCCCATTCTCAACAAAATGCGTCACAATGACTTTCAATATTTGGGCTTTAACCATTCTATTGTTGGCGGTCAAATCCAACTGATTTGCCATTTGTATTAACTCAGTCTTTTTAAGGTTCTGAATCCCTTCAAAGTCTGGGTGAGCCACCAACGCTGCAACTTTCTCCTCCATCGTTACTAACACTTGGCACTTGATTCACAACAATAATTAAAATAATGGCACTGCACTACACTTCACTGTAAAATTGTCACCACACTGAAAATTCGCTTGGCCTCACTGCACAAACAAAATATATAGGATGACTTACCTCAAAATCGTGAAACGTTGTTACTTGACACACAGGAAGGCTTGCTTGGCACATGGAATAGTTCTTAAGAAACACAGACACTTGACACACTGGTACCTAGGAAGGCAAGGTTAGATTAGCATAGTTAAGTTAAAGTGGGAACAATATATCCCGGACAGGCCCCCATAACTCTTTGTTACCTATCGTACGTTACGGCTCGTGACCCTACAGCAGCCAAACTTTAATTACGTCTAAGGATACGAGACAACTGCTGTTCTCAATAGCGAATCACCAGTATAACCCCTTGATAAGTAATGAGCACAATAATAAATCTTCCTTAGGACTGAAGAATAGATACACAATCTTATATAAAATTATATTAAATAAATCTCAATAGCAAACAGATGATTATATGGTCACAATATATCACATTAAAAATATCACTGTATCTTCCAGACATTAATTAAAATTATTATATGTATGGCTATGACAGAACAAAAATGTATAACTTAACTCCCACTAGATGTTATCTCCCTGGTTCCAGATCAGCTACTGAATAAAATAACGCGAGTCAAAAAACATTGCCTTGCCCCGCGAACAATTTGCCAAAGTTACAATATTTATTATTTCAACAATGGAGCAATACATTGTGACAAGAGTAATCTTAAACTAACTTAATGAATAATTAATACATATTGATATACAAACATAAGGTACTTAATTCTTTACATAGTAATTAAAATATGCATACAGAAGGAAATAATGGCATGCACACCCAGCAACGGACGATCCCACGACAATTTGCCAGATACAGTTCACTCAATTATTATTCACCTCTGTTACCCACATATGATCACATATAAATCATTAGTTCCCGTGGGAAAACTGAGCACACAAAGAAATAAAACAATCATTCCCACGATACGTTGGGCCTAACGCCAACACTGTAACATGAATGTACGTTTGCATAGAACATATAAGTATATCAATATACATGCTTGTAATTTACACACAATTATAAATGGACATATTAATTTATTTTCTTACGTATCTTATAGGAGTACGTAACAGCAGTAATGTCATCTGTCTCATCCTCCTGTTAAGATAGTACTTTTTGAAACTATGTGCTCCATAGTACAAACATTTACGTACTATGCAATTAGATAGTAGAACTTTGTACTGTTCTCCTCATAGAGTCCGAAAAAATGAAGCTAAACAAACAAGCTTAAATATTCCTAGGCCTAGTATAGAAAGCACACATATGTGCTATATTAAGCCTCAGATAGCGTGTATTAGGCTTAGGAAGGTTAGGTTAATTTAGTTTGTATTTGCAAGATAAGTGAAAATAGTTTTCCAGTTTCTCCAAATTCTATAGTACCGATTTTTACTTCCTAATTACGTTGTACATCAGTATATGTACTATGGTCCTCACCCTTCTTATTAGTACTGCCAAAACAGAAGGATGGGCTGTCTGTCTATATGACTCAGACGTCACAATCCTCATGAGTGCTATTTTTTCCCTATCGGAGAAATTTTTTTTCAGAGAATACAAATTTGCACAGCTAATTATATTCTAAACTTAGAAGCTATAGGTAAAAAAGAGGCTTGAATATTACAGTGAAAAGGCAGAGTAATGTTCCACAGGCAAATTGCATTGTTACCAAGAAAAAATTAGATATAAATTAATTATTTCCAACACGAATTATATACTTTGAAAAAATACAATATTTTACATTAAAACTCACTTTATTATTTGAATTAATTTTCCATAATTATTATATTTTTCAGGTTGTCAAATCGGGATTATTGTATGAAGTAGCAAACCTGGTGACCAAGAATCGCCTTATATTCAAGAGCCAGGTGGAGTACCCAGAGCTGGTGGGGTCCCTGCTGAAGAGTGGTCGCCACGTTCTCTTTGATGTCAGCCACTTGCTCAGAAATCTAATGGCTAAAGATTATTCAAGAACAGGTTTCTTCATTATGTATTTGAAACTTAAAAGCATATGTTTGTCTGTTTAGTTTTAGCACTATCAGTCGCGAGAGGGTCAAGGCAGGTGCAATAGCATGTTTGTTGACCAACAAGCAAATATTATTTTGCCCTAAACATACTGTAGGACTAATGTAAATTCCCAGTGTATAAGCAGCGAGAAATAGTATTTTTTTTTAGATGGATTTTATGCTCGTACTTTTTGGAATGTCAATGGGAAGCTCTCTATTTCCTGTGCTTAACAGTTCATACAGTATTTAGAATCTATAGTTCTTTTTTTTACTATCTAACCGAGCGACACTAGGTAGAATAGATATGTTTATGAGGTGTTAGGCCAACGACCAGATTCCCACCACATTAATGGAGCTCTTCCGCTTTTGGATTCAATGAGTAAAAATTAAAATAAGACTTTAAAGTTTAGTGTCTCTCGGTCGCCTACAAATGTGTACGTACATTTTTGATCGAGATATCACATTAAAGTTTAATCGGAAATATCACGCTATTGTGATTTCTGTGTGTAATGAAGTAAGGGCGAAGAGGTAGAACGGCAAATTGACATAACTCGAGTGCATGGGGAAATTGTGTAAAATCCTGGTTTGTGTCTCGGAGAGACTGCAGGATCCAACCCGCCAAACACACACCGAAACTACGACGTTGGTTCAACGTTCGAACAAGTTTTAACACCTCCTAACCAGTTATAACGAACAATATAGCAAGTTGTAACAACGTTCTAATACGTCTTAAACACGTTAAGCCACGACGTAACAACTTTATTACAAGTTGTAACGAGCGGAAAATAGAGAAAGTTTCGGTGTGTGTGTTTCCAGGGAAGTAAATTCAGTAGAATTTCTGGTTGCAATTCTTCTACCATGTCGTAGCTCTGTCGATTAAGGCAGTGTCTGGGATGCTCTCAGACGTAGGTTCCAATCCTCGTCACGGCCCTTGTGGATTTGTTTATTTAATCGGAAACGTTTCTGATAAATCGGCGAACACAGCAGTATTCGACCTACACATTGACCTATTCTATGGGGACTTATTTTCCATGACACTCAAATCGGAGGAATGAGTCCTGAAAGAGATCACTAATTGGAACATGACTCCCCTACCAACACCAACCAGAATATTGAGTAGACAGCCTACTACTAGAGCAAGAAGACTTGCTGATAAAAAACTGCCTGAAAGAGACGAATGTTGTCGATGCCTTCACAGGCCAACTTGGGGACAGTCAGCCGTTGATGTTATTTTAGATTTAGCTACTCAGAACGAAATGTCCATGTAGCACGGGCTATGATGAGCCCGTAATTGAGTTCAGTTATTCGCGATAACCTTGTTACTCTGGTATTTGGGTCAAAGTATTAAATGGAGGTGGGGTTTCCTCCTTTTCCCTGTTTCTTTTTCGCTAATGTTTTAGTCTTGTTTTAATAACATTATCTTGGTGGCGGATGTAGGTGCAGAATGTTCACTAGTGAGTCCCATTCTTTAACTGTTTTTTCTAATCATTGTAAGCCGGACGACTCAAACAGAAAACGGAACAGTACGTCACTTTTGTGAGTCGATTTCATTTCAAATTAGGTCCAAATTTGGCCATAGCGCGCATACGAGCGAAAAGTGACGTTCATTTTAAGAGGACGGGTTGTATGATTCACGAAATTATCATTAAATTTAGCAGTGTGTATTATATTGGTAAATTTTATTTAGTTCCTGGTTTACCTATATTGAGGTCTGGAACAGTATTGATATAATGTTATAGTAACACTACTGTGTGTACTAGAGTTAAGAATTGATGGGATGATACTGATAAGTTAGCAGTCTGTTTTACTGCTTATAATTTGTTAGATAATTTATTACACTGGTTATACTGGTCTGTTTTTGGATAGACTAATTTCGAATATCCGGTTCATAAGGACCATAAAAAAATTGTGTTTTAGGAGTTATGAGAACCAGAGTAAGTTTTAATATAAATTCTGGTTCTTTGTTGGAACACAAACATGATCCTGGTTTGTAGGACCATAAAAAATGTGGAGAAAATCTTCCAACATATAACTGATTATAATCATGAATTAATTAATAAGTTTAAATGAACATTAGAAAAGTGGACTGTTTAAATTTTATAATTAGGTTGATTATTTCCACTACACACTTTTTGGGGGGTAGAACTAATACTGCTAGGTCTTCCGAATAAATTTGATATGTTGAATAATTTCAATAATAAGGTTTATTAATAAATCAGTTATAGAGTTAATAGACTAATTACAATATTATAACTAAGTAAACTTCTGCTTAGCTGTCGAGCAGTTAATGGGAAGTGCGTCTAGCAGCCTCCTGTAATCAGTCTAATCCTGTCTGGACGTGATGGCGTCGAAGACACGTGATTCACATGTCAAGACGATCCTCTCCCGTAGATATAACGGCACATTGTGAAAGGTATAAATTTTGATTTCTACATAACTACGAGTATATTCACTTATTTCCAATGAAAGGGGGTGACTGATTAATGGAATACATTTACTAGTTTTTTTTAATAATCCTACATTCTAACGATCGGAGAATCTCTCTCTAAAATCTATCGCAATAAATTTAGATAAGACTAAATTTAGATAAGACTAGGACTCATCTGTCCGGACGTGGCGTCCTCAATGATAGATGAAGCTGGCAGCAACGTCTGAGACTCGTTAATGCACAGATGATTCCTATATTTTACGATGCTAATGGCGAACTTCGGGACACCGATCAAGGATGATTTTTCTCGGCCAGGTCTTAGTGCAAGTGATGCGCATGCCCCCTACCTCCCTCTCTAAGCTTAAGATTGGCATAGAAGTCACAATATTTTACGGTTTTCCTATCTACTAAGACGTAACCGATGTTAATTTACGTCAGATTAATGTACTTCAGATATAAACAGACGGTTTTCCGCTGTGTGTATTATAGAACCGAAGTGTCATTAAATAATCAGCATATATGCGCAGATAATATTCAGTTCGTGACTTTTACCTAGTTGGAATCAGCTAATCGAAGCTGTGAAAAATTTTACTTAGAAACGGAGATATTATTTGCTTTAATGAATTAAATTAATTTCCAATCCATATTACTTAGTTAATTAAACAAAGGTTGGACTGGGTTTAATGTTAGTAAATTTAATTTCCTAGCACAATAAATTTATCTCATCATACTAGGGGATAGTATTTAGGGTGTCTGAAATTTCCGACATCCACCAAGCCTCAACGCGCCATCTTTCTGCACCACATGCAGCCACCAAGCCTCAACGCGCCATCTTTCTGCACCACATGCATCCACCAAGCCTCAACGCGCCATCTTTCTGCACCACATGCATCCACCAAGCCTCAACGCGCCATCTTTCTGCACCACATGCAGCCACCAAGCCTCAACGCGCCATCTTTCTGCACCACATGCAGCCACCAAGCCTCAACGCGCCATCTTTCTGCACCACATGCAGCCACCAAGCCTCAAAGCGCCATCTTTCTGCACCACATACAGCCACCAAGCCTCAACTATATTCTTATACTGGATTACTTAGTAGAAAACTATGCCATCGCAGAAGAACAGCAGCAACATTGTTACCGTGAAGAGAAGCTACACTAACATTGATGAAGCTCGAACTCGTGAAGATAGAAGCAGAAGGACGACGAGGAGCAATAAAAGAACATAACGGCAACATTGCACTGAAACATCAAGAACAACAGTACAAACTAGAACGAAGAAGAGAGCAAGAACGAAGAAGAGAACTTGAACGAAGAAGAGAGCAAGAACGAAGAAGAGAACTTGAACGAAGAAGAGAGCAAGAACGAAGAAGAGAACTTGAACGAAGAAGAGAGCAAGAACGAAGAAGAGAACTTGAACGAAGAAGAGAGCAAGAACGAAGAAGAGAACTTGAACGAAGAAGAGAGCAAGAACGAAGAAGAGAACTTGAACGAAGAAGAGAGCAAGAACGAAGAAGAGAACTTGAACGAAGAAGAGAGCAAGAACGAAGAAGAGAACTTGAACGAAGAAGAGAGCAAGAATGAAGAAGAGAGCAAGAATGAAGAAGAGAGCAAGAACGAAGAAGAGAGCAAAAAAGAAGAAGAGAGCAAGAATGAAGAAGAGAGCAAGAATGAAGAAGAGAGCAAGAATGAAGAAGAGAGCAAGAACGAAGAAGAGAGCAAAAAAGAAGAAGAGAGCAAGAATGAAGAAGAGAGCAAGAATGAAGAAGAGAGCAAGAACGAAGAAGAGAGCAAAAAAGAAGAAGAGAGCAAGAATGAAGAAGAGAGCAAGAATGAAGAAGAGAGCAAGAACGAAGAAGAGAGCAAAAACGAAGAAGAGAGCAAGAATGAAGAAGAGAGCAAGAATGAAGAAGAGAGCAAGAATGAAGAAGAGAGCAAGAATGAAGAAGAGAGCAAGAATGAAGAAGAGAGCAAGAACGAAGAAGAGAGCAAGAAAGAAGTCAGGTAAAAGAACAAGAACGTGATATTACCATCCAACAAAAACAACAAGAGATGGACAAAAAGACAAGAGAGAGAGAGACTGGCTCGTGCAATCCAGCAAAAAGAGAAAGAGGAGGAACCGACTCTGAAGGTCGAGCGTATGAAACCAGACGTGGTGATCAAGACACGTGAGCTGGGGCTCGAGACTACGCACCAGGAGCACAGACAACAATTGGAAAACCGTCTACCTATTCGTTTCGACCCAGCTCACTGTATCAAGATGATGCCGCCATTTGTTGAGACTGTGGACGACTGCAGACGATGAGTGACAATAACGTTATCATGAGATGATTTCGGGGCTTAGTGTCCCCGCGGCCCGGTCCTCGACCAGGCCCCCCCCCCACCCCAAGGAAGCAACCCGTTCCAGCTGTCCAACTCACAGGTACCTATTTACTGCTAGGTAACAGGGGCATCAGAGTGAAAGAAACATTTTGCCTATTTGTCTCCGCCTCCACCGGGGATCGAATCCGGAACCTCAGGACTACGAATCCGAAGAGCTGTCCACCCAGCTGTCAGCCCTGGAAACACAAACCGTAAATGACTCTATTTTCCGCTTGTTACAACTTGTAATCAAGTTGTTACATCTTGGCTTAACGTGTTTTTGACGTATTAGAACGTTGTTACAACTTGTTATATTGGTTCTTATAACTGGTTAGGAGGTGTTATATCTTGTTCGAACGTTGTAGCAACGTCGTAGTTCCGCTGTGTGTTTGGCGGGAGGCGCCGTGGACGGTGTATCTTCAACGTGGCTGAAGATATAATGACCAAACCACACGTCAGAAGATAGAGAAACGACGACGTTTCGGTCCGTTCTGGACCATAATCAAGTTGTGTTGGACTTGATAATGGGGACTACTTATGGCCAGTAATGTCTCGAGATGTCAAAAACTTGGTAAATTCATGCCATGCTCGTCATCTTGCTGGCAAACGTAATGATCCAATTCCCAAAGGCACCTCTAATGCCTATCACTGTACCTTCAGAGCCTTTCATCAAACTCATTATTGATCGTGTGGGACCATTACACAAGACCAAGTCTGGAACTCTGTATATCATAACTCTCATGTGTCCCACTACAAGGTTTCCAATAGATTTTCCTGTAAAATACATTGTGGCCGAACCGTTATAAAAGATATTTTAAAGGTGTTTATTCTCTATGGGTTTTCATAGGGAGATTCAGAGCGATTGTGGAACCAATTTTGCTAGTGACCTGTTCAAACAAACTTTACACAAGTTTCAAATCACTCAAGTCTTTTGAGTCCTTACCATCCAGCCTCTAAGGGTTCTCTAGAGTGTAGTCAGTAAACAAATCATTACTTAAGAAATGCTGAATGGAAATAGGTAATGAATGGGACGATTAAATGCACTTACTATTGCTCATTTTTTATAATCACTCCCAATAAGTCACTTGAAGTATCTCCATATGAGATGCTCCATGGACGTAAGTTATGTGGACCTCTGAAAGCTTTTAAAGATTCACTAGAGAACAATACATAAAATTATTCCCATAATGTTTCTCAATTTCTTCAAGACTTGAAAACTAAATTAGAGAAAAATCACAAATTTTCACATCCTAACCTTCAGAAATCTCAAAATGGTATGAAACAACATTTTGATGTGGTCTAAAGTTAAAAAATTTAAAGTTGGAGATTTTGTTCTGGCATACATTCCTCTTCCAGGTTTCCCATTCAAAAGTAAATACTCAGGTCCTTATTAAATTAGTGTAAAAGTAATAAGAACTACGTTCTAAAGACACCTGACCGGCGCCGCAACACTCCCAACTTTATACTGTTTGAGTAAGTTGATATGACAAAGTTGATGCTAATGGAGTATTGTGTGCAGGAGTATATTCTGACTTACAAAGGTCTAATGTTTAACCTCAGTTCAAGTCTGAATTTCATTTGAATGAGAGTTACCATGCTAAACTATCCACTGAGTGTGATTGTGATACAGAAACCTGTTTTTCTAACTTAGAAATTTTGAATGACCTGCCATCCTACTTCAGAGGTCCATTGTATTTTGTCACTCTCGTGTTTTCGTGAAGTTCGTTTTCATTTTCTCGTGTGCAGTATGTTGTATGTTCAGTCGTGTTCTGGACGTTGGCAGAGAGTGTAATATGGTGCTAGTCGGCTATTGATACATGGCTTAGTTTGCTTGATGTGTCTCGCTGATGTCTTCCGTTGTCGTTGTATCTCTCAATTATATTGGTGTTGTTTGCCAGGATATCTCTGGTGATGGTCTGGTTATGTGTAGAGACAACATGCTACTCAATAGTCTTGCAGCTTGTGCATTGTTAGGTGTCTTGAAAGGGATGTTGTTGTCTTGCCTATATATTGAATTAAACATCCCTTTTAAGACTAGTAAAGCAGTAAATATTATATTTTTAGTATTTGACATCACCCACAAATTAGACAAACATATATTTATAAGAGACAGACAGACGGAGATTGGAGAGAGACAGACAGAAACCGAGGCAGGCAAGGGCAGATAGAAAGAAACAGACAGACAGTAGATAAATGGATGGTTAAATTAGACTGATAGATGGATAAATAAACAGATGTATAGATTGATTGAAAAATTGATAGATAGATGAATGAATAGATGCATCGATGGATTAATAGGTAGATGTCTAAATAGACGTATCGATGTATGGATAAATAAATGAATAGATTAATGGATAGTTGAACTGATGGATGGATAGATTGGTAGATAGATGGTTAGATAGATGCATAAATGGATGGATTGATGGGTCGATAGAGAGATAGTAGGTTAATGAAAAGATAGATGGAATAATGGGTGGACAGATGCATGAGTAGATGGTAAGTAGATGGAAAGCTACTTGGATTACTTGGTGTACAGATGCATGTATATATGGATAGATTGATAAATAGATATAAAGTTGGATATATATGGATAGAGAGATAATTAGTTGGATGATAGGATAAACAGAGGGATGGATAGACGGATAGGATAATTAGGTGGATGAATAGATAGATAGGTATGTGGATTGATAGATGAATAGATAGATGGAAGCATAGATCGACAGATGGATGTAAAAATGGATGGATAGATATGGGGATGTACAGATATGTAGATGAATGGACAGATGAATAGATAGATGGATACATAGATGGATAGATGGAAAGATAGCTGCATAGATAGATGTATAGACAGATGGAGGGATAGATGTATAGATAGGTGGAAAGATGGATGGATAGATGAAGGAATAGAGGGATAGATAGATGGGCTGATATATGTATAAATATAATGATTAATAGATCAACAGATAGATGGGCCCTTTGGAGACAGACCCAGGTGCCACTGGCCCCCCCCCATCCCCCCAGCGTTCATATATATATACGAGATAGTGTATGCGGCGGTGCCCAGGTCTCCTCACACTCTCCGCATATACCATATCTTCCCCTATGCACACCCTACCTTTCTCTTTCTACACACACACACCGAACGCATCTACACCCCATCTTTGTAACAATCTTCAAGACACACTATCTTCAACACTGTAAATATCTTCACATTATCTACAACCCCCCCCCCCCCTTCCACACACACACACCATCCCCGTGTCATACCACATATATTGCTGATCTCCCAAACACCATTTCCCAGTTTCTTCTTCTCGACACACTGACCCAGTCTCCTCCCTCCCAGCAAGTACAGGCCCCTGCCCCCATCTCCTCCCTCCCTGCACACAAACATACATTCTTCATTTCCTCTCTCCCTTGCTCCCACTTGCCCTTCCCTGTCCTCTCTCTCCTTGCTCACATATGCCTTTTCTCTGTCACCTCACATGTTGCTCATATACATGTACTTCCCCCTTCACTAATCTTCTTGCTCACACACATGCCCTTTCCCTGTCATCTTTCCTCCTTCCTGAGCCCTTAAACTGCGTCTATGGAGAAATGGTCATACCGCCTATGCTAAAAAAACAAAAAACAAGTAATTATTTCTCTAAAGAATTTATAATTTTATACAAAATGTAAGAAAACGCAAAAATAGGTAAATATTTAACATTTCACTAGGAGGAGGTGGTGTGGAAGGCTGAGTCTGGCACTTGTCAACGCCCTGATGCTCCACTCTGCTGACTGTTCCTGTTTTATTCTCCAATCTTTCAATTTTCTTCAACCTCACAATTGTTTTTTGACTTGTTTTTCTTTATTTACATCCACATAGAGCTATTGTATCCATATTTGCATCATCCATGTAAAACCCAGATAATAATTGTTTAAATTGTTTTATGATGATAACAGAGTATCCTATGGATCGTCAGTAGACTATAACCACAGCCTATCTTGAGGTTATCTTGAGATGATTTCGGGGCTTTAGTGTCCGCGCGGCCCGGTCCTCGACCACGCCTCCACCCCCAGGAAGCAGCCCGTGACAGCTGACTAACTCCCAGGTACCTATTTACTGCTAGGTAACAGGGGCATTCAGGGTGAAAGAAACTTTGCCCATTTGTTTCTGCCTCGTGCGGGAATCGAACCCGCGCCACAGAATTACGAGTCCTGTGCGCTATCCACCAGGCTACGAGGCCTAAGGGATAACCCTTTCCCATCTCCTCTTGCCTTCCTCACACACGCCCTTCCCACACCGCCGTAACCAGCAGCTAGCACCCAGAATGACAATCTGTCATCAGAACCTAAGTTTAGAAAGTAAAGATCTGAATTCCCAATTATTTAAACTCATGATAAAGTATCTGATTCTGTGTTGAAAATTACACATCCATTAACTTTGTGGAGGCGGGGCACTGGGGCTGTGTCTTCCCCTACAGAGAGGCACTGGGGCTGTACCCTCCCCTACAGAGAGGCACTGGGGCTGTGTGCTCCCCTACAGAGAGGCACTGGGGCTGTGTCCTCCCCTACAGAGAGGCACTGGGGCTGTGTCCTCCCCTACAGAGAGGCACTGGGGCTGTGTCCTCCCCTACAGAGAGGCACTGGGGCTGTGTCCT